CGTCTCCTCCTGCTGTCAACAACCTGACCTAAATCATAAGCCGGCGGTGGAGATGGGTTCTGGTGAAAAGGATTCCACTAGCAGAGCCGATGTGCAGAACAATAAGGAGGAAGAAAAGAACGAACTGTTCGGCCAGATTCAAGTTTCTCCCGAACAAGTGGTGATCAAAGAACAGGAGTGCCATGACGGTTGTGCTACCCCGCTCTACGGACGTACGGTAACAATTACTTTGCTCGATTATGAGCGTCTGCAGCTGCGTCTGTCTCGCTCCTATGCCATGGCTCCGCAGTCAGATGATCGGGCTGAGCTCAAGTAAGTTTGTGAAACGGGAATGCTGATGCCCTTTTGACTGCATGAACCCATAAATTACATGGGTGAAGTCATTATTATCACAATCTTCCCTGTCCACCACAGCGTAGTATGTTTTAAAGTGAACGATGAATATGAACCCGAAGTACGGGCGTTAAGTCCTGCTTTTGAATTAAGTGCGTCGCGTCTTCCTCCGATGCTTCTCAGTTTGCCAATACGGCGTTTTGTCTTACGTTTTGTCCTAGGCATGTGAGAGCTGCATGCTCTCTTGCATTCCTACCCAGCGGCTAACTTAACCACTGCATAGCAATCTACTTCTTTGCACTAGCAAATAATTGGGTCGATTTTTGAAAATAGACCTTTTGCTTACGAAGAAACGCCGTGCAACGTGTTTGACTGCAACCAAAACAAGTTACACGGCCCTAAACACTTCAGATTGCACCTCCTCGAGGAGTGCCAGGGAGTTTGTTTTGCTGGTAGCCATAATGCTACCCTTTTGTGCTGCATGGGAGAGGTGATATGCATCAGATAGTAAGGAGTTTTTTTGCTTTCCCATCATTCTGATCCAAGTTTCATTTTGCGTCATCGATGTATGGGGGGTGGGTTGTTGTTCTATAAGTCTATAGTGTTCCTCACGTGTTCTTTGACACACTTTGTTTTGTTTGTTTTGCTTCGGTGGTCTTACGGTGGATCGTACGTATTTTTCCCGGTGATATCCTCTTACTTATTGAGTTTTGCGCAGATACGACTATTTTCTGATTTGGTGTGTATGTGTGTCGTAGCCCATTGTTGCATCAGGAATTCCCGCCGGGATCCAAACTGGGAGTAGTTGGGAGACTGAGAAAAGCCGAGACCTCGACCAACTTGAACCAAAGGTCCGCGGGAGTGCCTGGCCGGGAACTGCAGGCGAACAGATGCTGACAGTCATGCGGACCAGCGCAGCAGTTGGGTGTGGACGGGTCGAGTGGATGTTGGTACTGGCAGAGGACCATTGAGTAGCCACTGCGCAGTTGAGCCAGAGTACAGCGAGTGACCCTCGAGAGATGTTGTTTTGAGGCCGCAATTGAAGGTGGATAGCCACTCACAAGGACTGGAGGACAGTAACCTCGTTTCTCCTCGACGACGGCTCTCTGGCGGAGAAACGCTGGAAGCCTGTCTTGGTGGCAGAGCTATCAACGGGTAGATCCGAGAGAGACAAGGCGTCTGATTTGGTGAACTGCTCTGGTGGATTACAATGCTCCTGTCATTCACCACCGTTGCTTTTCGTGATTTTTTAGACAGCTGAGTATTACTTAGATTTCCAAGTATCTTCTTATTTCAATTAATAGACTAGGTGACTGAATGACCCACTGCTTTACAGTGTATGTATTTGTGTTGATTTTCTAGTCAAATGGTCATGGTTCAGCTTTCGTGCGTACAAATGCGAAATTTGACTGTAGGAATGTGGGTTACCCTTTAACCTAGCTGCTGGCTACCTGGCGCGTCCACAGGTGGCTCCTGTGTTTGACGAATAAGAAGTCACGGACCAGCAGTGACAGTGTTACCGAGGCGCGGTGAGCTGAGGTCTGGTGCACCGACTGCCTTATAAAATGCCGCAAGTCCCAATGACGGCACTGTGACATGGGGAGCGTGAACCATCATTAAATAGGTCTGCTTGCCACAGCTGCCTTGCGGTCGACTTCTTGAGCCAAAGGAGACAACCTCGAACAAAGAATCCGAGCGACTGTTGGGGACCCGACTGTATTCAAAATCCCCAAGATTCTTCATGCAAAATTTCTAATCAAAGTACTACGATCCCTGCTACGGCCTCCGCGGGAATCGACGCGCTCCGCAACCCTTGCCCAGCTTCATTCGCTATGTAAATACCCTCAGGTTAAAAGCAAACTTATGCACTTTCGACCTAAATTCATAACTTACTGCATGCGTTTACGGACACAACACTTAGGGCGCTGTCAATCAAAGTTGCATGTCGCCTACAATACGCCGTGGTAGACTGCCTTGTCGCTGCCTTATCTCAACATACTAAATTT